TCGAACTCGGCTCTACGATTCCTCAATCCGCTACCCATTACACCGTACCACCGTGCTATTCGCGAGAATATTATTGTTGATGGGATAGTGTACACATTAGAGCTTCTTGTGCACCTCGGGGTAGTGTAACGGGTAGTAAGCTTGTCTCGCGAGAACAGTTACGTTTGAGTAGTGAGTTCGATCCTCACTGGGTGTCCCATACTTTCGGCCTTGTGTCACAACTAAGCTACGCTTGGAAAATCACTACACGTTAGAGCTTCATAGAAGAGAGTGAAAATGAATAGGCGAACAATTACTTATATTTCACTGCAACATATTTTATTGCTTGAGCAAACTAGAAGATAAAAAGAGTCGACTGCATGTAATGTATTCTTCGTGCGCCTGTCTCTGAAATGTTCTGTTGAAGACGTTGAGAGATTTACATTTGAGAAGAAAGATGGTATGAAAGAATTATTAGATGTGCCTGTCTGTAGTTAAGTAAGCTGAGGACATTTCTATGTTTTGTTATACATCATGCAACATGTGATTCCCTGGAGACATAAAGGTCCCCTGAAGAGGAAACGAGACTTGTTCTACCTCTAATGTGACTACAAGTGAAATAAAAGAGCATAAAACTTTGTGTTCTTAAATACTTTTTTTGGTAATAACATCTAATAGTTGTTAGCCTAATTTTTTTGGTATTTTAAGATAATATTTCTGAAATTCCCCTTCTCACAGACCAAGTGTAATTCTTTCATTGATGGCACTTAAAGTTTTTAACTTTTAAGTTAATAAAAAGCAACAACACTAAATGAAAATCCTTGTCAAAAAATCTAAAAATAAAAAAAAAGTTAATTTCAGAACAGCTGACAGTATTAAGAGCTTATGACCATATCACCTTGAAACAACGGTTCTCGTACGGTTGCCCAAGTTAAGCAACGTCGAGCCTGGTCAGTAGCTAGATGGTTCGTTATATTCACTTATTCGCAAAGATTTGAATCCACTTCATCTGCCCCCGCCAGCTCTTGGTCAACTTGTAGAAGTAGATCATTATTATCTCAAAAATATTTTACTATATAAAAATATTTTCTCGCTTTAAATAACCCGTAAAAAAACCCGTAAAAAAAAACCCGTCTAAAAAAAAAAATAATAATAATAATAAAGCAACAACAAAAAATCAAAACAAATCAATAAAACAGTATTTACATTGCTCGGACTTGTCCTCATTTTTATTGTCACATCCACGACGTTTCACCCTTTGTACTCTCCGGCCTTCACCAGGTCACGTCTATTGGAATTTTCTTATATACTGTACCTATGAACACTAATGGGTACGTCCCAATCCTGATAAATATGTTGGACACTATTGTAAGTTGGGGGTAATATGCTGTCTTAGTAGTCCAACACTAGCAGTGGTTTACCTACTTCAGGCCGCTGGCGAGTATTGTATTTTGTTGATGTTATAAAGATTACCATTCCATTTCCAACCTCCGTTTTGGTTATTCCTCATTCAGTAACATATTCTTGGTTACAATAAATTTCAAACCAAATCCTTTAATTAATCCACGAGTTTATATCGTTCTAATTGAACGTACCATGCTTTTGGATATCACAGTTTTAGTTAATTCACCTTGATAACTCTTCAAGGTGTCTCTCCGCTGATATCAGGGATTGAACTCATAAATCACTCTTTGAATCCACCAACCAACGCTTTTGATCACTGCACCATGTGTCGTTGTCAATTTCTGTAATAAAAAAAAAAGAGAAAGAAAAATAAGTGTTGTACTCTCATAACGACGCCTCGCATAATTACATTCTAATTGTTTTGAAATCCATACTAAAGTGTTGAAAGGATTATTTACAACATGTTATATTTCGTCTCTGTCCTCCATGACCGAGGTGGTAAACTGGATTTTTATTTTGTTTGTTTGTTGTGAGACAGAAGAATTTGTTTCCGCTTTCAACATCAAATATTTGGAAATTTCACTTTGGATCAGCCCAGCTTGACAATTTGTTGTCGAGGGATTGCAGACACTTTGATGTGTTCCGGCATGTCTGACAGTTGATGCAACACGGAGTACATGAACACTTTTTTTTTTTTTCTTAGATTAATATTGCCAGATGCCTGTGAGAAATTCCTGTAAAATAAAAAATAAAATAAATAAATGTATAAACGTTTACTTGTTTGGTTCACAAAGAACTTTCTTGAATAACTTTTTTCCCCTAACCACTTTTGATAAAAGCTTTTTCACATATGAAGAACGAAGGGCCGCTGAAATGATCTAGGCTTGACCCACGTCCTAAAATTTGACCAAACATTAAAAATAAGAATTCATGTTTATACTGTGAATTTTTCAGCACCAAGAGCTCAGTCAGTTATGTGCCATGCATGATACACGCTTAGGCGATCATATATCTTTCGATACATGACTGACGGGGTAGAATTTTTTCCCGCAGTAGGTTGCCATTTCTCTCTGCGGTTGACCAGTTGCCATCCAAGGTTCTAGAACCCGGTCTGTCC